TGCATCCATCCTTGCCCTACTTGACCTCTCAGTGGCTTTCAATACCATCGACCATGGTATCCTTCTGGATCAGCTCAGAGGACTGGGGGTGGGTGGCACAGTGTTGTGCTGGTTCACCTTTCTTCAGGGTCGATGCCAGTTGGTAGTGATTGGGGAGGAGAGGTCCCGCTGTTGGCACCTAATGTGTGCTCTTCTGTGGGACTGGTGCTCTCTCTGCTCCTATTTAATATTTACATGTGGCCGTTAGGTTTGCTCATCTGTCGCCATGGGGTGAGGCATCATCAGTATGCTGATAATACCCAATTATACATCTCTGCCCCTGGTGAATTAAGCAATGCTGTGGATGCCTTATCCTGGTGCCTGGAGGCTGTGAGGGACTGGATGGGGGAACAACAGGCTTCAGCTGAATCCTGGCAAGACTGAGTGGCTTTGGGGTTTTGGGGCCTGCCAGTTCTAGGACTATGCCATCTTTGGTGCTGGATGGGGTGGCACTGCCCCAGACAGACCTGGTGCACAATCTGAGGCTCTTCCTAGACTCACCACTCCTGCTTGAAGAGCAGGTGGTAGTCATGGCTAGGAGGGCTTTTGCACAGCTTTGTGTTGTGCATCAGTTGCACCTGTTCCTAGATCAGAAAGCTCTACTCACAGTCACTCATAGCCTAGTTACCTCCAGATTAGACTTCTGTAATGCGTTCTACATGGGACTACCTTTGAAGAGTATCTGGAAGCTTCAACTGGTGCAGAATGTAGCAGTGTGGGCAGTTATGTGTGCCTCCAGAACAGCACATGCCACACCTCTGTTCTGCGAACTGCGTTGGCTGCCAGTTTGTTTCCAGGCCCAATTCAAGGTTCTGGTTTTGACCTTTAAAGCCCTTCATGGCATGGAACCGGGTTATCTGAAGGACCGCCTCTCCCCAATTAAATCAGCACGTCCCATTTGATCTGGCAGAGAGGGCATGCTACAGGTTCCATCTGCAAGGGACCTACATTTGATGGGTCCCAGGAGGTGGGCCTTCTCTGCCATGGCGCCCACCTTATGGAACATTCTTTCCCACAAAGTTAGGTTAGCTCCATCCCTGTTAATGTTCAGGAAGTCCCTCAAGACCTGGCTATGGCAGCATGCCTGGGGGTCCCAGGGGACCAGCGACATTTTAAGGTGGCTCCCTTATGGTGGGTGATATGTGGTTGCTATACTTCTCTCTCCATTTGTGGTTTCTATATTCTAATTTTTAATGATTTTTTAATTCTTTAATAATGTTTGTCTATACTTTTTTAATGATTGATTTTATAATGATTGTTTCTATATTGTGCTTTTATTTTATTGTTGTACTGTTGTATGTCACTTCTGGTGAGATGGGCAGCTATATAAATTTGATAAATAAATAACTAAAATAAATTTAGTGATAATTTTTAGAAAAGTCTGAGGGCTCCATTGAAGACTTTGGAAGGCATATATTGCCTTTAGAGGCTCAGGTTTTCCATGTTTATCTGTAAAACTAAACCTCAAACCCCATAATATAATACACATTTCAGTGAATATAGCACTCTACATGGGGCTACCCTTGAAAAGTATCCGGAAGCTGCAGCTAGTACAGAATGTGGCGGTGTGGGCAGTTTAGGGCACCCCTAGGGCTGCACACGTAACAGCTCTGCTGCATGAGCTGCACTGGGTGCTGGTTTGCTTCTGGGTCCAATTCAAGGTGTTAGTTATGACCTTTAAAGCCCTTCATGGTATGGTGCCAGGTTACCTGAGGAACTATCTCATCCCGGTTATATCATCCCGTCCCTGGTCTGGCAGGAAGGGCATGTTGAGGACCCTGTCAGTTAGAGAATTTTGACTGGCGGGGTCAAGGAGGAGAG